ATCGAAATTAATTAAATCCAAAAGTGATATTTTCAAAAGTCAATAACCGGAAACGGTCGGTTTCAAGTATGTACATTGTGTGTATCTCAATTTTTGCTTAGAATTAAAGGAAGAACTGAAATATGCAATAATATACACGTGCCACGACTTTATGGGCGACCCTGTATCTTCTTCTTCTTCTTCTTTACGTGTCTCTTTCGTGGAGGTTGGCGATCACATTGGTAAAATCTTCACGATTCTCGGCTTTCCTTATGAGTTCTTCAGAAGACCCTGTATACTTAAATTTATTATTCGGAAAAAAATTAATAATCAAAATCTCTATAACTTTTATATTTAACTTTTTGCGGTAGGTACCTCGTCCATTTTCCCTAATAATCGACCGTTCCCATATATATCAGCATCAGCGACCCTGTATTTTATATGCTTTTGTAAGGATCTATCAGCAAACTTGAAGAAAACTAACACTTTACATATTTTATGATTATAGTACAGTTTACAGGAATGCCCAGGGACTATCCAATTAAAATGGAAGAAAAGGTTACAATAACATGTATACCCGACAAACTAGACAGTGTATTTTTTCGCGTGATATAGCTTTCTCTATTTTAACATTAAAAAGATGATGAATATTTCGTTTGTTACTTGATTTTGATTCATATCTCTAAATTTCTCAAAAAAAATATTTCTGAAAATATATATTTTTAGATATTTAACAACTACCATTACGTTTTCTTTCTTCTGCAATTGAAATAAAAATATTTTTATAACCACGGTTCATGTTCTTTGTCAAAACATACGCTTCGATATTTTGATCAACTGTAAAATACGTAATGTCACTGTATACTTCTGAATATAAACGTTTAAAATGCTGGAAACAATATAATTTTATCGTTGCTCATTCAGTTCAGTGAAATGGAATTGAGATGGTACTCATATGTATGAAATGGCCTTTAACCGCCATTATTTTCCCTGTCGATTTCAAAATAGATCTTTTTTAGCAATATACTTTTAATAAAACTGCCATAATCATAATCCTCTTGAAATATCCTTTTATAATAACCTATATAATTTTACTTTCAGTACTGTGGCCATTCTTTTACTAGACCCGGAAATCAGTACAGAGAAAGACATGTCGTTGTTTTATACCGTATGACCGGAAAAAAATTGCATGCGGGAATGACAATCAACAATATATAATTCTTGCTAAGTTAATATCTAGACGTCATTTATTAAAAATCGACATAAAACTTGTCAAAAATTAACACTAATTAAAGAATTTTTTTTTTCAATAAGGGGGCGTCTTTTCAATAGCTCTGCCGGAAACACTGCGACCTGTGAGACCTATTGTGTTTGTCCCCTTTCTATATATGCACAAATTCAGCTGTACCCTGCACCGACTTATGCAGGTCCTTGATAGAATGGGAGCATAGTTCCTCCGGTTTTAGTCTAGTTTTCCCAAATAAAAAATGTCACGTGCGATCCAGAGCCTCGCAGTGACATATTATGTGCTCCGCTGTTTCAGGATCTTTATGCCAGAGTCTGCAGCAAAGACTTCCTTGATACAGTTTGAGCTTGTTAAAGTAACACTTGATAGCCATGGGTCCAGTCAAGAGACCTGTTGCAATTCGCACTTTATTCCTGCTAAGGATTGGTTTTAGAGCTAGGTCTTTGGATAAAGTAAGCAACCTTGCTGTACCTGTGCCCCTGCCCGTTTCTCCAGTGGACCTTCTGCTTTTCCCTGATCCACAGTTTTAGTGCACTACGGGTCATACATTTCGGTATTTCCAGTACTGGCCATCGACCTAGATATGATACCGATGATCCTTGCTTAGGTAGCTCATAGGCTTTTTAGCTCGAGACTATTGAGCAGTCCGTCCATAACGAGATTCCACAGCAGAGGGGAGATAAACTACACCATTTAGTTATCATTTTTACACTATATAAATAATATAATAAATACATTGCAAACTTCTTAAGACCAAATGGTAGTAAGCGCTCTTAAAGAATAAAGAAGAGTATATATATAATAAATGACATCTAGGGCTTAATTTCGCCAAAATTACCATCTATTGTCATTTCCCAGCCGTCTTTGGCGCCGTTTTTTTTATCGATCGTATGTTAGTTACTCATAAGAATCAAGTCAAAGTGTCCACTAAAATGGGAGTCAAAATGAACTAAGAGAAGAGTTTCAGTACACATTATGGGATGTTATTATGTATATTATGGTTTGTAACAAAACAATATTTTTAGAATTTATATGCTTTTTTTTCATAGCAATTGATAAAATAGTACTTTTACCGCAAGAGTAGATTAAATGATACTTTAACAGCGACGATAAGTTAAAAACTTTATTTCTTCTCGCATGTTTTTTAATTGCTTCCATTTTTGAAAATTTTTGTATTCCTTTTCATAAGTTATTCGGATTAAATGGAATTAGTTTGGATATGGCGTTTGTCGCCTCAGCCTGAATATCTGTTGGTAATTTACTTATTTCGTTTTGAGCCATTTCTGGCTACAATCCAATCAGCAATCGACACGAAAGAGAATTAAAAAATATTGACTCAAAACTAACAACTAAAGAGACAGCTTTATTTATTTGTCAAATTACATAGAAACCAATGCCAACCCCGCGCAATATTTTTTCTACTGGTAATAAATTCCTTGAAATAATAATTTCTGAATATTTTTTAAAACGTAACTCGCTATGGAAAAAAATATTGTTTTATACACGACGATAAAATTGCATTATCGTCTCCCGAAATTAATTCACTCGCGGTTTCATCGCCCATGAATTCATCTTTTCGGTCGACGATAAAATACCATTTTATCGTCTTGTATAAAAAATAACTATTGTTGCGTTCTTTAATGTTGCCTGGTAGTTTTATGGAAAGTCAAATATACAATGTGTATATTTTCTATTTTCTATATATTAAATGTATGATATTTGCATATTGTATCAAGAATAGAATGTTTTGCATAAAATATACCTACCACAATATAAAATAATTTTTTAACTTTGTTTACATATACGCTGTAAAACTAATAAAATCAAATTAAAATAAATATTGATTTCAATTTTATCAAACAACTCCGCATGTTTACCGACTGTTTATTTGCATCCAGTTTTCATATAAGTTAATAAATTATTTGAAACGCCTAAATATAGAACTTGTTTGAACAATATTCTTTGTACAAATATTGGAAAATGGATTCCATCAAATTTTATTGTTCTATATTTAAATATGCAATGGTTTTGTGTAATTTATCAGTAGGTACTTTTTTATTTATTAACAAAATGCACTGGTTATAGTTGTTAATATTTAACAATACTTTTATAGCAAAGTAAGTTACTCTATAATGAATAAACTTTAATTTTGGCATTTAGAATTAGAAAGCTTGTAATGAAATTAGTTTAATTAGCATTGTATAGGTTCGGATTTTATTTGTCTTGAAGAAAATATAAGAAAGGGAGACCAAAATACAATTAAATCTTCTAAAGTACGAAAGAGGGTCTCCCATTCTTTAAAAATTAACTTAAATACTATCAAGATACATTGTAGCAAATAAACATATATTTGACATCAATCAATTTGCGACCTAATGAACATCATGAACATTACCTAATAAAAAGTTTTTGTAGACAAACTTAATTTTTTTTATGCCTAAAAAAACTCTAAGAAGGCATTTAGACATTCATCTACATTTTACAGAAAGAGGTCGAGGCTTTTGCAAAATAATAATAGTAGTAGTGATGTCTTGCCTCCACCCATAAATGCTTTTTATCCGGAAGAGATGCTGCATTACACTGGTGCATCTTAATTTCATTTTTTAGCTTAGGAAACCAGCAGACCCCATCCTCCTCCCACATGTGAGGTTAGGCTTAAAAATTGGCTGCCCATTTTTTTTAAGGAGAAAACAAAAACTAAAATATAGTTGCACAAATCCACAAATCACTGATACGCAAAGTGAGGTTACGTGGCGTACGTTGGAATTATATACGTCATAATACGACTGCCGGTCGTCCGGTTTGATGACTTCGGTCGTGTGAGACGACTAATGTTGGAGACCCGGTCGGAATTGGTATATTGGTAGTTCATATTAAGTCGGACACAGAAATCCGCCATTCTTAACAAGTATCCGATTGTCAGCCATTTTAAAATCGTTTTTTGTTTTTAAAATTTATATTCACATCACATCGATTTCTAGTAGAATAATATTGATAAGGTTGAGTTTGGGGGGAACCACAGTACAGTTTTATGATTAAACCAGCTAGAAAATTAAAAAAAAATATTTTGCGAGTTACTTTTTTATAGATATTTTTATTTCATAAATCTACCTAATTCATGAAGGCGCTCGTTGTTTTCCGGAGTATTTTAATCAGATATATAAAAAAAGTGACTTCCGTTGACAAAACTGATGTCTGGATTAATGATTCAGAATTATTATAATATGAAATTAGATAGGCACTTATAGTTATATTCGAGGAGTGATTTGGTTTGGATCCATTTGTAATTAGGTAGTTTGGTTAGGTTTTTATGTATTCTTGGTAGCGAATATGAAACCACACGTAACGTAAGTGCTTAGCGACGAATTTTAAGTGACTAAAATCCAACGTAATATGACGTTGGTAATTGGTAGAATTACATTCCCTATTAGGTCAGATACCGACGCCGAGGCGACCCGAATCTGTATTCCCCATTTAGGTGCAAATAAGGGTCGTCAGGCGGTCGAACCGACGTTGGTACCCGACGTCGGGTTTATTGAACGCGACGTATACCCGACGTTAGATAACGTCCAAATGCTACTTGGACATTTAGACGTAGTTTTTTACTTATTTTTATCTGCAGAATATGCTGCCGAAGTTTCCGGAATACAGTTCGGACCATACAGTTTTAAGGAAATTGAAGTAAAAATCACAAACTAAACACATCATATGGAGCTTTTTCGGTGGCCTGGATCACCCTATATAAATTGCATCCAATTTACGGCTAGGAACTTACATTTAGCAATCGAATGGTCATCGCCACGGAAAATTCTCTTGGAAAATACCCAGTTTTTTCTCCGAAGAACAGCACGGAAATTGGGATCCAGAAATAGGAACTTCCAGACAGACGCCACGCCGTCGGCCTGTCCGGGGCGATTTGCCAACCTTCTTTGCCCGGATGGAAGAATTGACCCTCTTGGAACAGGCTTACTGTGTTGTTGCAGCTGTAAGAAAGCAGCCAATTAAAATCATTGCGGGTTTCCCTCATATTTCTCGTTGTTATTTTTAGTTATTACTAATAGAAAGTTTATATGTATGATTCTGTTATAACTGTTACTTTCTGATGGTTTTTAATACAGGGTATTTCAAAAAATATGTATGAACTCTCGTGGGGAGATTTCTCACGTAAAAATGAGTTTTATTTTTTATATCAACTTAGATTCTGCTTTTTTTCGTAACTACAGAGGTTTAAAGTCTTAATTTTTTTGGATTTATTGTAATTTTCTTCAAGTTAAAAGCCTAAACAAGGGCCTACATCACTATTAGTGATACATATTATCTTAAAAATGTGTCGAAACATTCTAGTGCGCCACTGACTTTTTTCTTTTATTAGTAAAATTGTATAGGCCGTTTAATGTCGATTAAATGTTATATCTTGATATTTTGTCGATTTCGATCTCATTGATGAGCTAAATGCAATTTTATTGATCACAATTATTAATAAAATTAAAATTATTTACTCTGATTTATAGCAAATTAAAAAAAGGTATAAGTTAAGATAAACGGTCTACAAAATTTTGCTAACAAAAGAAAAAAGTCAGTGTCGTACATGTCTTTTTTAGAAAAAAATATTTCTATGATAACCTAAAAAATCCTATATAGGTATTTCGCCACTGCAAGAAAATCTACAAAATAAAATAGTAATTTTTTTAAACACTGCTGGGAAGCTGGAATCCAACGGAGACTAATTGTCAGCAGTGGCTTACAAATGAATAAATTTCCCTAACGGATAAAAAAATGCTTCTTTTTCCGTTATAGTAAATAAGTAATGTAGTACGTATCCCTAGTGAATCTATCGACACTTTTTTAGCATTAAATATGTAAAACTTATAGTAATCTAAATCCTCAAAATTTCATTCGAATCGCCAAAAGCACTTGGAAGAAAAATATATATAATAATAATAATATAATAATAGCTCCCGTATACAGAGAAGACCAGGCTACTAGTAACATAGCAAGTTGCCGGACGAATTTACGTTTACCCGATTTGCGTTCGTACTCGAGATTCACTGCCGGCTAGTCGGCTGGTCAGGCAGTACGCAGTTGCAGTTGTACTTGGACGGGTCATTCGTGACAGACTAGAAATACGACGCGAGGAGTGCCGAGTATTTATTATTTTCATTTTTTAAGTGTTTACCTTCACTTAAGGTGACATTTAAAATAAAAATACTTAAATATTTATTGTGTGTTTAAAGTTGTTTATAGTGTGTTTACAAGCCAAAACTAAAAATAAATAAATTCTCTAAACCCCAAAAAAAAACTAAAATATTACCTACTCTAAATAAAAAAAAGTTATAACAAGTGTTCAAAAAGACCACCTTCTTGTGCTAGACAGAACGTCGTAAAATCCCCGTCTGACATTGGCTAACATATTAGGGCTAATAGTTTGGAAAGCCTCTCGTATTTTTACTTGAAGCTCATCCAGATTATTAGCCCTATTATGACCATACACTTTGGATTTTACATAACCCCACAAAAAGAAATCATTGGGAGAAAGATCTGGTGCTCTAGCGGGCCACAAAATAGTTCCATATCCACTAATTAAACGGTTCGGAAAAGTATTGTTCAAATATTGTTAAACAATACGGGCATTGTGGACAGGGCAACCACCTCAGCAATTTGATTAATTGAAAACGTGGGATTTTCATCCGCGGTAGCACAAATGAACACTTGCTTTAACTCCTGTTCTTCATTCAACACATCAGGCTTTTTCTGTTTTTTGTGGTGACACGCACCCATGTGTTTCAAAATTATTAATAACTCTTGATATAGTAGGTAGAGATGGAATTGGCCTGTTTACAAAAGTTTGTGGAAAAATTGTTTGTGTATCCCGTATGTAATGTTGTTTGTGTATTTTGGAAATACCATTTTACAATTCGAATTTTCTCACGAACTTCGTAAATATCCATTATTTTACTTAAAAAATAAATTTTACACGAGAACTGTCGCGAGAATCTATATATTCGTTGTGGCTATTAAAACACGAATAAATACAAATTCTGAAATATTCATATCAGATATCTACATATTTTTATTTTATCGCATTTTTTCGCCTGCTTTTTATCCGGCGGGCGGGTATACGATAATTCGTCCGGTTCTGCCTATGTTACTACTACAGTGGTCCGGTCTGTATAGCGTTGATTGCCTTGGGAGTAGCAAGGTATAGCTTGCCATGCTAGAACCGTTCGGTTTACAAGGAAGGTAATGTGGCTAGAATTACGCTTCAACCGTCTATTATTACCTCTATTACCTCAGGATTGTAAATCCCAAGTACTCATTTAAGGCTGAGTCGACCTCGGTACCCACACTATTTTTATTTTAATAAAAATAGTCGGCTGATGAAATGCCGGGTGTGGGATTCGAACCCACTACCTTGAGATTGGTAGACCAGAGCTTGTACCTCTACGCCACCGGGCACCTAGAAAAATATATTAAATCCAAAAAAAAATAACCCTCTGTAGCTACGAAACAAACTAGAGTCGGACCTACATAATATGTTGATATAAAAAATCTGCCTAGGAGATATATTTTTTGAAAAACAGTGTATTTTAAAACAAACTATTTTGTTATTTTATAACACAATTCTATTTTACAGTAAAAAAAGAAAGTGCAAAATAATCTTGCAGCACATATAATGACGAAAATAAGATTAGAATTTCAATTTTCTTAGGCAAGCACAGAACGGTTTTTGACAAGAAAATTGCATGTTTAAAAATCAATTTGGTGTAATGCTTTGTTTTACAAATACCGGAAGTTCAAATTTTCTAAAAAGAAATATATTTTACAAGCACGTCAACTCTGCAGATTTAATAAGATTAGGTAGGATATTTAATAGGGCTAGTAATTTAAATAGAAATTTATTATTTCTGGTGAAAAAACAATAGTTAAGTTGTTTACTAGAACCATGGTACTGTGTCCAGTAAATTTATGACATGCTTTTTATTTAAAAACGATACAAACTCGTTGAATTATTTTATCTCTCTCAGTCTAATAATAATTTAAATCTCTTAAGATATAACTTATAGTTTGTTTCATTAACGTCAATGTAAACGACATACGAGACATACAAATTAAAATTCAAAAATTGGTTCTATATACCTACATTAAGATTAATCAGTTACTGAATTTGTATTATCCATATATAAATATAAAACCAATTTTCATGAAAACTACTATAATAAAATACATATTATTTTTCTATCGTAAAAACAATATGTATTTTATTAAAGTAGTTTTCATGTAATTAATGAACAAGAAAAGACGTAGTTTATGCAGAAAATCAACACGTAGTTAATCAGATAAATTACGTCAAATTAAAAAAAACATTGACACAAAAAAGAAAATGGGTCTCATAAATCTTACAATTGTGAAAAGTATATATTTATTTAAAAAAAAAATAAAATAAATAATTTTAAATTAAACTACTTAAATATATTAATTTGAAAAACAAGACATCTTGAATTCTCTGAGTTACGTTTTTAAATAGTATGGATACTGTAAAGGAAAATTCGAAAGGATAAGCCTACGCGTTGACATACAATTTTTAGTCAGCCGACTATTTAGTAGTAAATGTAAAAACAACATTCTTATGGAGCCGATCGGCTGACTATTTTACTGCACGTGAGCGCGGCTCCATAAAAATATCATCATTATCATCATTCTCAGCATATTTAACAATTTCCAACTATGGTCTAGCTTCCCTCACATATTTAGATACTCTCTTTGTAGTTGGACGCATTGGTTGGCTATACGCGCCCAAGTTATCCCTGCTAATTTCCTAATATCATGGTTCCCTCTCAGGTTTGGTCTTCCTCTAGGTCTTTTAATTCCTCGTGGGTACCATGCTGTAATTTTTGTAGGCCATTTGTTGTCTGTCCTCTTTGCCAGGTTTCCTGCTCATTGCTACTTATGGGGAATATGATTCTGTGGATGACATCTATTACCTGGTTTTTTTATATGTAATCTACTCTATTTTTTTAGGTCTTTCTTTAATTAAAATAAATAATTTTTTTTGTTTCCAGCATGTTTCGTCCCATTGAGCGTTGTTGCGACCTGTAGTTTCCTTATAATGTTCGCTTTAAGTGTCCAGGTTTCGCATGCATAGGTCATGACTGGTAGTACACATTAATCAAATGTTTTCGTCTTTGGATAAAGTGGCATCATAGATTTGAATATGATTGAGTTTCTTCATAAGTACTCCATGCTAACTTTATTCTGCGGTCGATTTCTGGTAGTAGAGATCTCGAGCTGTGTATTAGTTTTGCCAAATATTTGTATTCTTCTACTATTTTCAGTTTTGTGTTATTTACTAGAATGTATGTTCTCTCTACTAGTCTGTTGTGCATTACTTTAGTTTTTGTTAAATTAATTTTGAGACCTATTTTATTAGTGTGTTTGTAGTTCTTCAGGACTATTGAATATTAGGACTATGTCATCAGCGAATCTTAGATAGTTAAGATATTCTCCATCTATTTTTAATCCTTTGTTGGTTCAGTCTAGTTGACGGAAGAAAAATAAATTGGTTACAAATCTGCAACTAAATAGACGGCCGACAACAAACTGGATGTCAGAGCGTAGCCTAATTATCCCAAAAAAAACTCGCAAAAGGAAGACACAAAAATGAATGGTTTATTTAGAAATATATAATAATTACTTTTTTTCAAATATGCGATAACTATTTCGAGTAGTGTATTTTAAAATAAGAATAGGTATTTTTCAATAATATTATGCTATTAGAATATATAGAATTCGTATAATATTTGTAATGGACTTCTACAAAAATTACTTCTAGACAGAATTTATTACAATAAATTCTGTGTTACAATAAATGTAAGTATATTTGTCAATGTTTAAAGATACTGGATAAGGCTTAATATTTTAAAGCTACTACCTAAATAAATTGCAGTGCCTCTGTTGCACATTAAATCCAGGACATTTGTTCCGCCGACAGTGGCGCGTTCTTTGTTGAATACCGCCGGAACACGACACACTGCACGGTGACCAATCTGACCACGTACTCCAACCTGCAACAAAATATAGTTAAAATATACCGGGTGTTTCTCTAAAGTGACTTACAATTATAACTTTTTTATTTTTTCAGATAAAAAAACAAGATTTGGTATGTTATTATAGGACATTAATTAGGATTGATTAATGTGTTCATTTATTTTTGGTCACTTCCTGTTTTACCGGAAATGACTATAACTTTTGATTTTAAACTCTCGGCATTTTTTTGCTTCATTTGATAGAAAATAACATTCTGAATGAAGGACATATCATAGCCACCCTCGTTCAAAAACCCCCAAACAGTCTATTTTTAAACTTTGATTTGAGTTTCTTTTTAATTTTTTTTAATAAAACTTACCCATATATGTTCTTAGCATACGCAATTACACGTCTAGTTATATTTCGTACATTATAAAAATTATACAGATCATACTGTGAATAGTTCTGACTGACAACGAAACCCATTAGCAAGCAACGGAGATGTCAATGTTATAGTCGGGAATTATTGTGAACTAAAGATCTAGTTCAAGGAACTATTCTCCTGGAGGAACTAGAACTAAGGAACTAGTTCCTCCCAAGGAACTAGAATACCCACCTCTACTGCCATCTAATAGTAAGTCACTTGGAGATAAAACTCCAAAATAGGAGATACAAATAATAATGAAAATAATTTAATAAGCTTTTTTATAGATACGTGGTGCTACTGATGTGGTTATAGCATGTTGATAAGATATTCTGTTAAAAAAATGACTGATGAATTTACAGATTATAGATATATTTTAATAAAATTCATTTTGGTCCATTTTGTATAATAAATATATATTTTTTGCTTTACTAACATACAGAGCTTTAATTTATTATAATTAATAGTATTTAAAATAAATATTGAACTAAATTTAATCAAACAGCACCGTATGTTTACCGATTGTTTATTTACATGCTAGTCAATAAATTATTTGAAACGCGTAAATACGGAAATTGCTCGAATACTATATTTCGATGAAATGTTGAATTTATATTGCGGCAAATTCCCTTGTTCTGTATATAAATAAATAATGTTTTTAACGCCATTGCATTGGCTATTTCACAGGTGCAAGATATTTGGTACTACCCTTTGGTGTGTACTTATACCGGGTGGTTTTACCCCTATAACTTTTTTATTTTTTACTATATAACATAAATTAGGATTGATTGACGTATTCAATTGTTTTCGGATACTTGACTGCAGCTTTTGATTTTTAAATGGCACCCTCGGTAATTTGTGACTGTATTCGATAGAAAATGACATTCTGAGCGAATATCATAAGTCAACTTTTGACATTTTCGAATATGGTTTATTTGAAATTGCAACATGCGATTCATAATGAAAATTTTACTCTATTTATTTAATTTCTATGTAAAATTTGACGCTCCACTATTATTTGAACTTATTTTCTAGTTCTTACCGTTTCTCCGAAATTTCGAAAAAATAATTTAATTTATTTCACCCCTTCTTGGGGGTGAATTTAAAAAAAAATCACAATTCGTTTTGAGATCTTTCAAAGTAACTTATATCAAAAGTTTACCGTCTTATAATTAAGTGAATAAAACAGAAATAATTATAACCCAATTCAGACCGTATTTCCCGAACATGACTTAAACCCTGGCTAGAAATAAAAAACCTTATTTTGACACAAAAATCCTGATCTAGACACGGAAAAAAAATTTAGCTTTGTCATTTCTTTGTCCCCTCATCTGTTTGTGTACTTGTTTATTTTCTTGACTGCTAAATAGAAATAGTTTTCTCACCGACAAGATTTATTCCTTTGGTGAGCAACTTAGTTTATTTATCAAATTAGAAAATCTATAACTAAGGAATAGTTTTATTTATTTTTGTTTTCTTATTTTTCAGGAACTTTAGTTTTATTTTTTTTTGTTACTACGTACATTGTACTTATTGTAATCCTTACTTTTTGGTAAATAAACTTTACTTTACTTAAATATATGAAAATTTTAAGGTGCCCGTTTTTCGTGCCGGTGAGTGTAAAACAGATCAATTATTTAAAATCAACAATACTAAAAAAGTTTATTTTTAGTGATCATTGCAGAAAAATGTGTAGTGGCATGTTAGTTTCTGTTAAAGGTTGGAATTCTAGTTCCTTGGAAGGTGCTAGTTCCTTAGTTCCAGTTCCTCCAGAGGAATATTTCCTTGAACTAGGTCCTTAGTTCAAAATAGTTCCCGACTAACATTGACATCCCGTTTCTTGCTAATGGGTTTCGTTGGCAGTCAAAACTAATCACAGTATAATTTTTATAATTTTTATAATGTACGAAATATAACGAGACGTGTAATTGCGTATGTTAAAAACATACAGTGTGTCAATTTTAAAACTTCCCACCTTTAATTTTCCCACCAATTGGCAACGTTGTGGCATTGGTGTTTAGTTGGTTATTTTGTTTATCTCCTGAAAATTTGAAGTTTCGTAGCCTTATCCGTGATTTAAATTGTTGAAATTGTCGAGGTAACTGGCAGAAACCTCACCCGTATGTAGGTGAGTTTTTTTGAAACACATTTAATTCACTAGCATGCAATATTCACGAAAAACTAATATATGGTCCACCTGTATTGAACTTTGAACCTTTGATAGTACGGTTGATCAGTGAAGATATCTGCAACGTTGCCGTTGTTAATTATTTTTCTGGAAGTTTAAAGTAATAATATACGAACTATTGAAAATGGTTAATAAAATATGTAAGAAATGTCTAAAGAGTATTGGCAAAAGATTAAATTACAATGCGGTCGCTGTGAATGCTACTTTCACTTGGGCTGCGGGGAGTATCAGAACTAGACGCGAGACTGATGCAAACTAATTCAACCCCTTGGACATGTGAGAGTTGCCTAAGCCGAAGAAGCTCTATTTATCAAGAATCGCAACGTCTGACTCGGAGTGGAAGCAGCGGGAACGGTGGAGATATTTATGAATTGAAGTCGCTTATCGGCGAGCTGCGCACTGAGCTGAGGGAAATTAAAACATCGATGGATTTCTTAAACGAAAAATACGAGGAAGAAAGAAACCGTAATCAGATTATATCCGAAATGTTCTCGGAAATTTCAAAAGACAATCAAGTGTTGAAGGCTAAAGTGCTGAAACTGGAAAATGCTCTTAATAAACAGTACGCAAATAATATTAAAAACAATTTATGCATTTCTGGTCTGTCTGGTAACGTAAAAGATAAGAAATCTGCGCCAGTGGAATTAATAAAACTTTTTACTTCATTAAGTGTGCCAGTGAAAGAAGAAAATCTCGAAAGTGTTAGGCTTTATGATACTCCAAATGGCCCTAAGGTTAGTGTCACCCTGGTGAATGCGGATTTGAAGAATAACATTTTAAAAGCACGTGCAGAGCGAGGAAGAATCTCACACAGAAAACTTGGCTTGGGCGAATCCGACCAACCCATTTTCATCGACGAGGAATTAACTAGGGAAACATATCATCTATTCAAAAAGGCAAAAGAACTTAAAACTCGTGGATATAAATATGTATGGCATCGCAATTGTAAAGTGATGGTGCGAAGAAGAGACGATGATGAAGTCATTGTTATAAAAAATGAGACCATGTTGAACGATCTGTGTAATTCTTTGGAAAATTTGTAATCGGTTGGGCTTGCACATATATGTATACATATTTTTATTTTTAGTTGTTTACGTTTTCTATATTTGTTTTTTCATTATGATTTACTACTTTATTTTTGTTGTTATTTTTATTATTCACAATGGCTACTGCAAATATTTCAACAAAGAATCTTAAGTTGGGTCATGTAAATATTCGCTCACTGTTGCCTAGTCTGGATAGCGTGAGTGATTCTGTTCATAGGTTGGAGTTGGACATATTGGGAGTTACGGAGACCTGGCTTTCAGAGCGAATTTCTGGTAATAGCATAGAAATAGACGGATACAATTTTTTAGAAATGATCGAGAAACTCGAGGGGGTGGAGTTGGTATTTATATTAAGAATAATATAGTGAGCAGAAAAATAGATATTGAGAATTCAGAAAGCATTGAACAGTTGTGGTTAGTAATAAAAGTTAATAATATTGAGATAGGTTTAGGTGTATTTTACAGGCCACCTAAAAGTAATTTAGTTGACGCATTGCAGCATATTGAGACTGCATTGGCAACAATTATTCCTATGTCCGATGAAATTTTTATTTTGGGCGATATGAATGTGAATCTTTTAAACTATAATAATGCTACAATTTCGATTAACGATTTTCTCACATCTTTCTCACTTAAACAATTAACCGCAGAACCCACACGAATTGTAAATAATCAGAATAGTCTTATTGATTATATTATTACATCTAATGACAGATTAATTGTTGGAAAGGTATTACATCATGATATGCATGAAGAGACCGATCATCAGCTCACTTTCTGCACTTTGAATTGTATTGCTCCTCGAGAAGCGCCTAAAATTATTAAATACAGAAACTTTAAATATTTTGATAGTGAAATGTTCCACGCGGATCTTATAAACACTCATTGGTATGATGTTCTTGAGGAACCGAATGTGGAAAATAAAGTAACGCTGCTTACTGATAAAGTAAGACAATTATTTGACCGCCATGCGCCGCTGTGCACTGTACGGATTACCAAGCAAAAGGCTCCATGGTTTACTGATGTCTTAAGGATTATGAAGAAAGAACGTAATAAACTGATGTCTAAGTACAAAAAACAAGAAAGGAATGTGACTGGGCAGCTTATAAAAAATATGAGAAATATTTTCACCCAAGCCGTTCGAAATGAGAAAAGGTCGTACCTGGAGTATATTTGTAAGTCGACTGATAGAAGAGTTCTGTGGAAAAGTCTGAACGGTATGAATATTTACCGTAAGGCTAAAACCAGCAGAACTCTTCCCAAGCATTTATGTAATCCAAATTCTATTAATGACTTCTTTCTGACTCCATTAATAAGCTAGCACTGACTGTCGATTCTGACATAGTAAAAAATACGAAAATGGCCGGGGCTCGAATCATG